GATCCCTGCCCCTTAAAGGGCCCCGCGGCGCCCGCTTTTAGGGGACCAGCGACACGGGGGACAAGGCGCTGGAACTTACGGCCCCCGCCCTTTTCTCTTTCAGACTCTCAAGTGGTTTTTCTTTTCAAAGGCCGCCCAGCCCCCCCTCGTCCCCGTCCCCGTCCCCTCCTGGAGCTTTCCCCAGAGTAGCATAGCTCGGGATTCCGCTGTTCTCGGGTGCGCCGTCCCTCTCCTGTGTGGCCTTGCTGGAGACGGGAACTCTTCCCTTCACGGTTGCGTTAAGGGAAAAAGAAAAAAAAGCACAGCCTACGCCCTGGGGAGCCCCCTCTGCTGTCTCCCACATCGGGAAGGTCTTAAGTAAGGGGTGGGTTCGCCGGTGCACTGTCGCGTTTCAGAATTTATTTTGGCCGCGGTTTGTCAGCTGTACCAGGACCGGCCGGTCCTCGTTGGCCCTCAAAGCCGACTGTTTCCCTCCCCCCCCTTACTGCGGGGTTTATTGCCTTTATCAGCGAAGGTTCCGGCCTGACTCGGGAGACTGTTCCCTACTTTCTGAGCTCTCCTCCCTAAAAGCCCCCCATCCTCTTTTGTTTTTAAAGAATCTCAGCTCCTCCTTTTTTATTCTCTGGTCCCCCCCCCTTTTGCTCTTAAAGGGCCAGTCTGCCTTAGACTTAGAAGGCTCCCGCACGGGAAGGATGCTTAGTAGTAGGATGCTAATTATCAGCCCCTGTGTTTGCAGACAAAGAGCTTAGGCCCAGAGAGCGACATGACCTGCCAAAGGTCACTGAGCAAGTCATCAGTGAAGCCAGACCTTGGACCTAGTGTTTTCTGTTTTTTTTTCTATAGCTGTACTTAAAAACAATAATAATAATAATAATAATGAAAACAAAAGAAAACTCCACACAGGGACAGGAGTTCTCTCTGATGCTGTCTTTTGTTTGTGACTCTGGGATTCTGTACTGAGAGAATGACCAGAACATGCCTGTAATAGTTTTTGTGGCCAGGAGACCATTTTCTAAATAAAAATGGCCAGCCAGCTCTGCAGGGAGGGTAAGGTAGGGCTTTGGGTGTCTTTTTGACAAAATGTGAGAACACCAATGGGTTGGTGGGGTCCAGAAGTGCCCACCTTTCCTATGGCTGGGCAGTAACCAAGGCCCTGCCAGCCCAGACGAGATAAGTACCTAGAAAGACTTAATGGGTTTGATGGGTGGTGACGGTTCCGATCTGCAGAATGTTCCCTCTTCAGGGACGTTGGACTGTGACTCTGGGGAAGTCTGGGTCTGAAGCCCTTTCCCTGGAGCTGTTGACAGCTCTGTCTTAGGTGCCCTCCAGTGGGAGCTGACCTTTCACACCCCATCCCTAAGCTGGTACTTACAGGAGGACACAATTGGGGTATTATTGGAAGAAGGGACCTTCCTTGTGGGGCCTCAGGTGGGTGGGTCTTATGCACAGATCTGGGTGCAGACAGACACCCCCTTTGTTCCCCCAGCTCCCCACTGCTGTCTCCATTCTGGCTGTAACTGCCCAGCCTGCTGATCTCCTAGCTTTATCCCTCCCTGTACCTCTGGAGAGTGCCGTCCCTGGCCTTCTGTAGCGGGCTTGCACAGTACCCGCGTCCTTTTGTTTTGGTCCTCTCACTGGGTCCCTGCTCTTTGTAAGGGGTGTTTCAACTCCCTCATCACCCACTTCCCCTCACCGCTCTTGCCAACCCTTCCTTGCCCTGAGCTCCCCATCCCCCACATCCCTTTCTCATGCTTCCAAATCAAAGCCTTGGGTCCTTTCCCTGGAAATTGGAGATTGAGAATGTGTCTCCCTTTTCCCTTCAGGACAAGCTCTTCAGCTGGAAGGGGGTGCCTTGGGGTCCTGGGGAAGTACCCCCCTACCCTCCTCCAGGGCCAGGGGACCAGCATCTTCAGGCAGGAAATACTCAGATCATTGTGAGGCTCGGGCCTCGAGGCCTGGAAAGAGCCGCATCCCTGGCAGGGACCATCGGCGTTACTACCATGACCACTGGCGACTGGAGTACCTGATGGATTTCATCCCCTCCCGGCACGGCATGGTGTGCATGGTGTGCGGCAGCTCCCTGGCCACCCTCAAGCTCAGTACCATCAAGAGGCACATCCGCCAGAAGCACCCCTACTCCCTGCACTGGAGTCCCCGAGAGAAGGAAGTCATCAGCAGCAGCTGGGATGCCCATCTGGGGCTGGGGGCCTGTGGTGAGGCTGAGAGCCTGGGGGCCCAGGGGGCTGAGGAGGAGGAGGAGGAGGAAGATGAAGAGGAGGAGGAGGGGGCCAGCCTTCAAGCTTGCCCACCCAAGGGCCCAGGTAATACAGAATATGGGAGAGGCAGGGGATTGTGTGTAACGGGGCTGGGTAGGTGGGCAACTTTTCTGCTCTCCAGCTATTTATTTTCATTGTTTATTTACTTCTTCACTTACTTATTTTGAGCAAGGCTCTGCTCCATCTTTGTGTAGATTCTGTTTGCTCCCCTTGCTGTTGAGTGTGGGGAGGGATTAGTGATGCCGGGTAGTTCCAGCATCCCTGGCAGCCTTGACAGTGTGCAGTAGGAGGAGCAAGGAGAGTCGTCGGGGTGGGGGTGGGGTAAGTTGAGGAAAGGGCTGTGAGTCGGTCAGGGCAGTGGAGTGTGGTGTTAGAACAGGGAAGCCCAGGGAAGGGGTCAGGGTCTGGGCTTAGGGCTGCTGGGTGGACTTGAGTGAGTGGCCCTGAGGATTAGGGAGTGGGTGTGGTGGCACATGCCTGTCATTTTAGTACCAGGAGAGTGGAGGCAGGAGCATCAATAGTTGGATGGGGCTGAACATAGAGGGTTTGAACCCAGACTATGCTGTATGAGTTTCTCTCTAAAAAACGAAAGAGAAGAGGAGAGGAGAGGAGAGGAGAAGACGGGCCAAGGTCAGCCATGGGACCTGAGTCAGAGATGGAGTGAGAAGAGGCTGTGTGTGGAGCCCCTGGCTGTGGTGGGGGATTCCCCAGAGGACCAGAGTCTCAGTTGCTTCCCTCCAACCCTTTCAGGCAAAGCCCCAGCTGGTGGGGGCTGCCGGCGCCAGCGGCGAGGGGTTCGAGGGGGCCCAGTGGCACCTCGGCGCCGGCGGCTGTCAGCCTCCCGAAGGGCTGGGGGCAGCAGGGGACTGGGGCCCCGGCGCCTGGAGCGGAGGCTGAAGGAGTCCCTGCAGAACTGGTTCCGGGCCGAGTGTCTCATGGACTACGACCCACGGGGGAATCGGCTGGTGTGCATGGCCTGTGGCCGGGCACTGCCCAGCCTGCACTTGGACGACATCCGTGCTCACGTGCTGGAGGTGCACCCCAGCTCCCTAGGGCTCAGTGGCCCCCAGCGCAGTGCCCTGCTGCAGGCCTGGGGTGACCAGCCTGAGGCTCTGTCCGAGCTCACCCAGTCCTCACCAGGTGCGAGGCTGTCCCAGGGCTGAGACCCCTTTAATATTAGGGCGGCAGCTTGGGAGCGGAAAACAAAATTGGGAGGCGGGGACATTTGGTTGAGGGCTGCAGCCTTCTTTTCCCTCTACACACAGACTCGCAACTCCCCACCTCTCTCTCTCTCTCTCTGGCTAGGGCCGGCTAGCTTGGGGCTGGGGTGAGGAGCAAGGATTGGAACCCTCTTGTGTGGCTAAGGGCAACCCAGCCAGCAGGCTGAGTCCTTCTCCCTCACCCCTTCCCCAACAGACGATGACCTCGTCCCCCAGGACCTGACCAGAAAGAGCCGGGACTCCGCCCCCGCTGCTGGAGCCCCCTCCTCTCAGGATCTCAGCCCCCCAGACGTAAAGGAAGAGGCTGGCTGGGTGCCTGAGAGGCCCGGGCCGGCAGAGCAGGAGGAGGAGGAGGCGGAGGAGGGCGAGGGCGAGGGCGAGAGGGCGGGCATCCCGGTCCGGCCTCGGAGGGGCCGAGACCATCGCCGCCACTACCAGGAGCGCTGGCGGTTGGAGTACCTCATGGAGCTGGACGGCTGCCGCCGCGGCCTGGTGTGCATGGTGTGCGGGGGCGCGCTGGCCTCGCTCAAGATGAGCACCATCAAGCGACACATCCGCCAGCGCCACCCGGGCTCCACCAGCCTCAGCGGGCCAGTCAAGGCCCTCATCGCCCAGGAATGGAGCGAGAAGGCTGCGCACCTGCTGGCTTTGGGGCTGCCCAGCCCGGAGTCCCCCAACGACCCTGTCGCCCCCAGTGCAGCCTCGGCCTCTGAGGAGGGGGGAGGGGCAGAGGAGGCGGAGCCAGAGGAGGAGTGGTGGGGTGAGCCTGAGAAGGGCCGGAGCTTCTGGCAAGGGAGAGTGGGCAGGGTCAGGAGGGCTGGGCGGGTAGGGTGGTGAGAGTGGGATGCTGCAGGGAGAGACGGGAGGATGGGACGGGAGGGCCTATGGAGAGTAGGGACCGGGCCTGATTCCTGCCACCCGCTCTAAGGCAGCCCTTTGTTCCTCCCCAGGCGACGCGCCGGGGTCCCCCGGGGCTCCATCGGAGCGGCCGGCCGAAGAAGAGGAGGATGAAGATGACGGCCAGGAGCCTGGGGGGCTGGCCTTCCCGCCGCTGCCATTGCCCCCGCCGCCCCCGCCCCCGCCGCCGCCGCCGCGCAGCCGGGAGCAGCGGCGCAACTACCAGCCGCGCTGGCGGGGCGAGTACCTGATGGACTACGACGGCAGCCGGCGCGGCCTGGTGTGCATGGTGTGCGGGGGCGCGCTGGCCACGCTCAAGGTGAGCACCATCAAGCGACACATCCTGCAGGTGCATCCCTTCTCCATGGACTTCACCCCAGAGGAGCGCCAGACCATTCTGGAGGCCTACGAGGAGGCTGCGCTGCGCTGCTACGGCCACGAGGGCTTCGGGCCACCGGCCCCGGCGCCGCGGGACGGCAGTGCAGACCTAAAGCCGGGCGCGGTTTGTCGCGCGTAGCACTCGCCCTGCGCTGGCCTGGCCCTTGGGCTGAGAGACCCTGATGTCAGGCGCTGAGCTCCCCCTCCCCGCTGGCCGGGCTGGACCGGGGTTGGGGATGGGGAGGCGCCCGCCACTGTCCCCCGGTGGCACTCTGATGTGTCGCTAGTCCCTGCGCTCTTTGCGCGGGGTCCCGCGCTTCTCGAAAAGCCAAAGCGCCTCTCCAGTGTTCACAACGAATGCTCCCGGCCGCGCCCAAGGGCGCAGTGCTGCCAAGCCGGGGTGGGGGTGCCCGCAGTCAGTATTAGGGTTGAAGGCAGGGCGCAGGGAAGTCAGGATAGACGCGCTGGCCACTCGCCCTGGCCGAGGGCCCAGATCTGTGCGGCCTCGCACGCCCTCGGGCTTGGCTCTCGGCTCCCAGGCTGCTGGCTGCAGGGTCCAAATTGGTATTCTCGGTCTCTCAGAGGCCCAGGCGGCAGACTGGGGCAAAGGAGGGGGCGGGACGAGGGCGGGCGGAGCGATGGGACCCAGTCATCTGCGCCAGCTTCCCGGGCTGGCCCAGGGGACCGTGCATCCATCCTGGGCCGCTGCCATGCCTCCGGGACCGGGGTCATAAAGGGATTAGCACTTTTTTCCTTAACCTCTCTTGCTCAGAGAGCATGTTACCCACCCAGTGAAAGCGGCGGGCGCGCTCTTGGTCCAGCGCCAGCACCGTGCGAGCTCGGGGCACTGGGTGGTTAGTCTCTTATTACTGCCCCCACTGAACGTGATTCGTCCTCGGTGGATGCGACACCGGTTCTCAGCTCCCAGGGCTTGGGGCCGGGCCTTGGCCTCTCTTGCTCTTACCCGTGGTGCCAGAAGGGCCCCTCAATCTCCCAGGCAGGTCCGAGAGGGATGTGTAGATTTCATTCTCCCGTGGAGAACAGGTGGTCCCAAGATCAGGCCCTTTTGTGCTCTTTGTATTTTATTTTGAAACTGTATTTAATGCTTTTTATATGAAAGGGAGAGGGGAACTGGCCCAATCACCCTTATGTGCAAATGTCTTATTTATTATTCGTGTATCAGAGATAAGCTGTGAGGTGGAGGAGGAAGGACAGAGATGGGCGTGTGGCAAGGGGATTAGGAGGATACTAAATATCCCACGTTCCCCTGGCCTTGTTTCTAGGTCCGGTGTCTGCTCTTCACAGAGGGAAGCCACTGATGGCACTGTGCCCTCCTTTTAAAGTCAGGGTGTGGTGGTCAGGAGATGGAACTTGGGAGGGGCCCTAGGTTCTGGGGTCAGTGTAGCCCCTGTGGTGAGAAAACAAGAAAAAGAAATCCCTTCTCTCACCCGCCAGAGCCAGAGCTCAAGGTTCAAGTGCCTCAGGCCCAGTTCCCTAGACTTCCTGGTCGACAGTTGGATTTTATACCACGGATTTTATAGCATTTTTATATAATTTCAAGATTGTCAGTGGGAAAGGACCCTGGAGATCACAAATTGATCCCTTTCAGAGAGAGGAGCAAAATTCCGAAACCCAGAAATTATTACTTAGCCAGCTAGGAACAAGTCAAGAACTAGAATGAAAAACTCCCGGTTCAGTGAGCTTTGCACTGTATTGCACTGCTTTCAGGATTTCTTTACCCGTTAGGCCTGCCAAGATTCGTGTTGGCACTGCAGGCCCTCAGCACTTGTGACTCCTGAGGACAGCAAAGCATTGCACTTCCTGGGAATAAGGATGAAGGCGGCTTTCAGCACTGCAGGCCTGGGGCAGTGAGGGGTGAGGAGAGGGCCCAACTCCAGGTGGGGCCTACCTCTCCTGGGGCCGCGGTTTCTCCAGCAGAAGGTGGCTCCGTATCAGTGCTTGTTTTCAAGTTATCAGATATTCTGGAACGGCTGCTGGCTCAGTTAAATTCCAGTTTTGACCAGCCAGAGTTTTGGAGACAGTATTAAAATCTTTAGAACAGGTTATGGATGGTGCCAGGCTGGGCACTGACCTTTTTTTTTTAACTTTTCATCATGCATGTTTTTAAACAGAGTATTCTCTCCTGCCTCTACACCACCTTTTATAAACAGTAGGCAACATTGGAGCTGCTGATTGTCACCACCAGGGCTCACTGCTGAAGTCCAGGTTAGCTGGGGCAGAAGTTAGAAACGGTTTTCCCCTTGAGAGGCAGCCCCAGACTAGCATCATTTTAGGCACTTGCTAGAGACAGAAATCCTTGGGCCCACCTGACTAAGCCAGAAGGGTGGGGCCCACAGTGTATTCCCAAAGGCCCTTCCCACAGCTGCAGCTCCCAGGGAGGTTGTCTGGCAAGTACCTCTTCAGTGATTCTACCATGACTGGATGGCCTCAAGGGTCAAGGGGTTGGTGGGTCTCCTCCCTCGGGATTCTGATTGAACAGGTGAAATTTCTTCATTGTTTTATGGTATGCTTGCTATTATGGCCCATATGTAAATGTTACTCTGGATACATATTTATATGCCATGTTACTTAGTGACACTATTCAAACATTTGTATGTGTATTTGTGAAGTTGTTTGCATCAGTCATTTAAAAAGTATTTCAGTCTAAGTTTTCCCGAGAGGTATGTTGAATAAAATCTTAAAAGTCCAGCACGAGTCACAGCCAACTTAGTTCTGGGGCAGAGTGAATGGGATGAGTTCTGATGTCAGATCAGGTGTGCCAAGACCAGCTCAGTTTCAGCTTTTGGCTGCATGCGGTTTATGGGCTGCTTCCTGTGGTAAGAAGGGACCCTTCCCATTCCCAGGCTGGTGAGAAGTTGAACCAGGCCCTTTAACCCAAGTCACTTCTAAGGTCACCTTTTACACAGTCTCTTCACTTCATTTTAGAACCCAAATCAGTGCAGCTCTGCTCAGTGCCCGGAGTCCCTGCAATCTTGGGAGTTCTTTTTGAAGGTTCCCGGAATGTGGGTGAGAGCAAGTGAAAGCCTTTCGTTCCCACTTCACCCAAACTGTGTAAAAAGAATAAAGCTGCAGACTGATGAGACAGTCACTGTGTTCTTTATTTATAATTAATACATCAATTTGCAGTTTTACAGGGACCACGAGAGCTCCTTGAGGCTACTGAATTTTTATGTTGCACGCACAGACACGTACACAATTTCATTAGTAACTTTTTCATCTATAGATTTTTCTTAAAAAGAAAAAAAATTCCTGTGTGGCACAAAAATCTTTCCAATTATTTTAACACAGCAGCAACACAGAAAAGAGCCAGGTGTGGAGGCTTCCAGTGCAGAATGGGGCCCCTTGTTGGGAGGCCCCAAAGACCATCAGTGCATTTACTTCCTGGGAGGGCAGAGGATGGCGATGGAGTGTTTTCTACAATGGAAACCAAAAATTCAAACTGAACATGGGCAAAGAACTAAGAAAATGTAGTAAGGCATTCTACCTATCAAAATCCCTAAGTCATTTCCCAAAAGGAGGGGAAAGAGGTTCCATTCCTACTTTTATAGTCACAGACCTCTGTGACAATTGCAGACCAGAGCCCGTGAAGTCCCAGCTCTTCCTCATAAAGGCAGGGCTGAGACCTGAAGGAATTCTTGGATGCCACTTTACAAGCTGACTAGATTTCCATGCTGAAGGGTAGATAGATGCAAGGTCACAAATAGAAATCAAGATCCCCAGTCAATCATAATGACAGATGTTGTCTATCAACATCTCCTGGTCCTGCCTGGCCACCCACAACCTAAAACTTGAAAATACTCTCCAAATGAGCATTGTAGGCCAAGGTAGGAACAATGTCATAAATGTGTCTAAAAATGGAGATCCCCCTCAGAACAACACTCACTCACAAGCTGCTCTCAAAGCTACATGTCGGGAGTCTGGAAATGTACCTCCCCCTCTAAGCAGCTGAGGCCTCGACTACAGACACATGACTTGTATGCAGCCAGTGGGGCTTCAGTCCTCAGCTAACCCTGCGAAGCACAGGTGGAAGCAGCGGTGGAGGAGCAGCAGGGAAGACACAGAAGGAAGGCTCGTGTTCTTGTACCTCGTTCCCACAGACCAACGTAGGGTTACAGTAACTCAATGGCTGGAGCCCACATGCAGATTATGTTTCTTAAGCTTATAGCAGTGTACAGCAGTTACAGACATTTATTTCATAATAAGAAAAGTACAACCATATTTATTAAACTTGAGGTAAGGTGGGCAGGGAAAAGAGGGAGAAGCACATTCTGGAATGATTTCTCAAACCAACACTCACATTGGTATCCCAGACCAACGGCTCGGACACTGCCCTCCCAGTGGCAGAGCCCTTCCTTCCTTCCTTTTCTGGGAGGGCGGCAGGAGGAGGGGGTGACAGCTCCTCCTGCTGACTGCTCCACCCCACTCTGTCCCTCTGTATTTCTCAGATGGCGTTCTGGGAAAAGGGAATTACCTCTATCACCTGCAAGTTATTCAGAGCTGACAGTTCTTTCATTTAAGGAAGAAGAGGAGCAGGAGGAGGAGCTGCTCAGGTGTAAGGCAGGAAGGTGGGACTGGAGGGCCGCACAAACCCAACGGAAGGATCCCACTCCTGCCCCTGACTATGTATTCATAAGTTAATCATTATTTCCTAACTTAAAAATAAGGGCAAAATTATAAATGGGAACTGTGTATGAGTCCTCGAAACAGAAGAGAGGACCATAAGGCATTTCTCTCTTCTTTTTCTCCTTTTGTGGTACAGGTAAAAGCTCCACCACTGTTATGGTCTGATTAATTCTATTAATTTGATTCATTCTTTATTCTTTTGGGTTCTAAGAGATCAGTTCTTTTTTCAGTCTAACACATCTTGTGCTTGGTACTGAGGGTAAAGGGAGAGGAGGGGAGAGAACACCAAATTAAGAACAAACAACTTGGAACCAGGCTCAAGCTGATACTGAGCAAGTTCCTTCATGGTACAAGTGACGATGTTATAACTATTAAATGGCGTTTTAGTAACTGTTGCACTTCTGGCTTCCACGTGCTTATTCTGCCTTTTTTTTGGCGATTCCGGGAAGCTTTGCTTGGATCCTATTGAAGAAAGAAGAAGACAACTGAAAATATTTGTTTTAAATGTGCTTTTGTCCTAGGTTTGTATTTCTTCCAGGATATCAGGTAGGGCTCTGCTGTTCTCTGCCTGGAACAAGCCTGAGGGATTCCACCTTGCTGCCCTTGAACTCACATTGATCCACCTGCTTCTGCCTCCCAAGTACTGGGATTTACAGGTGTTTACCACAATGCCAGGATATAAGCTTTATATTATTTATTAGAAAAAGACAGGGAAGAGTTGCCTTAACTTGGATACATATGAGAATAAATAGGGTTCAATAACCAAAAAATATTTGACAGCCAAAGTATTTCTGTTGATTATTTTTCTTGAGAGCTGGAGGGTAGGACATTAAGTTCAAGGTCAGCCTGGGCTATATATAGCAAGACCCTGTCTCTAAAGCAAATAACCCAACCAACCAAACTACCACAACAAAACCCAAAGATGCTTCTTAACAAGAGGCTCAAGTAAATAAAACTATCTAAGGTTTTATTCAGGGTGAAAATTAGTTACCTTTGACAGTAACATTTTATATAAGAGACTAGAAATTATAGGGGAGGGGATGGTACACATGGGAAATGGTGACATGATCCCTATGGGTACTTACTTTTCAACAATTGACTTGGTCTGATCCCGGGCAATCCCAACATAGTGATCAATCTGTGTCTTTAAGAAAAAAAGGAAGGAAGATTCAGCTGGGTAATACAGGAGCTGAGAGTTTTCTTGAAGGCTTTTTTTTTTTCTTTTTCTTTTTCGAGACATGGTTTTGCTGTCCTGGAACTTGCTCTGTAGTCCAGGCTGGCTTCTAACTCAGAGATCTTCCTGCCTCTGCCTCCCCAGTGCTGGGATTAAAGGGTGCGCCACCACTGCCTGGCTGCCTTTTTTCCCATATAAAAAGCACTGTTCTTTTTAGTGCAGCCATCAAAAACCCCACCAGTCACTATTTGGAAAATAAAAATGATGTCTAGTTTTTCAAAGAATTATAAACTTCTGTTTTCAGACTTCAACTTATGCAACACTTCAAAATAAAAGTCATCATTTGTAGATGTAGGATGTATGTAGTGTTTCCTTTAGCAACACTGAGGTACATTTTCTGAGTACTAGAAACTGCAGATTTAATCTATATTCTGTAGTTGTTAGGTGTGATGGCTCCTGGGCATGATTAACTTATTTAATATTAAAAAGCCAAAAATCTTTTGTGTGTATGTATTTGTGTGTACGTGTGTGAGTGTGCATGAGTCTGGAGGAAAAAACTGACATATGGTTTTTCTTCAATTGTTCTCTAACTAGTTAATTAATAAGAAGATAATTAAAGATAGGGTTTCATGTAGTTTAAGCTGGCCTACAACTTATTATGTAGCTAAGAATGACCCTGAACTTCTGATCATCCTGACTCCACCTTCTACATGCTAGGGCTACATGAGTGTGCCACTACATACAATTTATGTAATGTTAGGGCTTAAAACCCAGGGCTTTGTTTATACTAGGTAAGTACTTTACCAACTAAGCTATATCCCCAGCCCTCTACTTTATTTTTGAGACAGTTCAGTCTCTTACTGAACCTAGAGCTCACTGATTTGGTTAGAATGGCTAGCTTGCACACCTCCCCAGGGCTGGGATTACAGGTAGTACATTCTAACAACAGGCAATTTTATGTAGGTGCTTGAGATCAGAACTCAGGTCCTCCTGCTTGGGTGACAAGCATTTTATCAACCGAGTCATCTTCTCCCTTCTCTCCCAAAAGGTCTTCTGATCCACGCAGCCCACAATGCAAACATCTGGACATACTAACATTTCCTTGAAAGTGCAGTTTAGTTTTGAGAAGCTCAACTTTTATTATATAGTACCTCTTCACCTTCCTTTTTTGGAAAGGATTATTCACCCCTGTGACACAGAATATCTATCCTAGGCTTCCAATCTTGCTGGAAGACACGACTCTCAGTCTATTACTTTCCTTAAAATGACTTGAAGCCAGTCACACATTATTAGCATATCTGCTGCCAGACAAATGCCTACCTTATACTTCTCATAGACAATTGGAACGCTGAAAACAAGCAGCTCAGCTGTAAGACAGAATCAAAACATGGCAAGTGCAAAAGTGAGACTCAAGCAATACAGACATTTCTCATGATGTCCAAAGAAACAACCAAAACGAGAAAAACAAGTGCTCCCAACTGAGGCTGGCAGGAGAGAGCAGATCAGGGTCATATTAAAAACCCAAACAGGCTGCTTTCTTTGTATGACAGGCATCAACTTCTAAGCTACAAAGGTGATTTCTAAAAGCAAGGTCCCCACATTTAAACCAAATCTAAACAATCCTTTACTTACAGTTGCTTTGAAATTTCTACACCCCCTCCCCACCCAGATAGGGTTTCTCTGTGTGTCCCTGGCTGTCCTGGAACTCATTCTGTAGACCAGGCTGTCCTCAAACTCAGAGATTCCCCTGCCTCTGCCTCCCCAGTACTGGGATTAAAAGCATGTGCCACCACTGCCCAGCTCATTTTGAAATTTCTTTGTCAGGCCATTTAATCAACACAGGGCCACAAGCCCAGGCTACTCCAATATCTAACACACTCTAGACACCACAGGCTGGCCACGTAGATTAAGTGGTTATACTGTGTGCATGCTCTTCAGCCAAGCACTCTGCCCCAGTTACATTTTTTTTTTTTTTTTCTTAATTGAGGGTCTCATATGTCCTAAGTGGGCCTAGAACTCATTATGAAGCTTAACATGATAATCCATTTTGATCCTCTTGTTTCCATCTACCACGTGCTGGGATTATAGATGTGTACCATTACGCCCTTTTTATAATTTGCGAGACAAGGTCTTATTAAGTTGCCCTTGCAGGTTTGATCCTCCTGCCTCAGCTTCTTGAACAGCTGTGATTATAGGTCTGTACCATTTGGCCCAGCATTTATACTTAGTCTTACAGACTACTTCAAGAAATAAACACATGGGCACACTTTCCTTGTCACCTTACCAAGGATCAGAAGGGTGATTCCATTAAAAACAGCACCAACATAGGTCATCAGCCACATGAAGACAGCCAGCTGTGAAGGCCAATGGCAGAGGGTTAGACAAGAACAATGATAACTCAGAGTTAGGCTACCTAGGTCTGCACCAATGCAGTGACAGGATACAGATCCCCTACTTGCATGTCACAATCAGAAAACTGCCACCGTCTTGGGTGCCGAGCTGGTGACTACTGTTGTAATGCTCTTTAGAGGGTGGCCACAGCTTTTTCTGCTGACTCCCACCTCCTTTTGACAGGCTTTCTCTTGTCTAATAAAAACCCTATATTCTCTATTTTACCTCTGAACCACAGACCAGCAACTAACCTTCAAGGAGTCAACCAGGTCTTCTACCAGAAAGAGACGAATGATGAGTTTGAGGGCTCTGTTGACATGCACCATTGCAGCATTCATGTAGTTATGGAAAGCTTCTGAGGACAGGGTAATGTCCACATCCAGGTAGGCCCTTCCAGGGAAGAAGAAAACAGTCACCCATATAACACGTAAGGGAACATTCTTCAACAACACAGTGGTTTTTCAGTGGGAAACTGGCATTCTAGAAATCTATAGGGGACACAGCTGCCATTTAATGGATAAAAGCAAATACGTCAATTATGTATATGAATTGTAGGGCTTTCCTGTATAATCTGTCTAGAGTGGATACATCAAAACATACTCTATGGGAATGTAGATTGATAGCAGAAGACTTGCCTAGCATGCATGAGATCCTGGGTTCTATTCCCAGCATTATAAAACAAACAAGCAAAAACCTAAAATTGATTTGTATGTGTATGTCTATGCATGTGGAGATCAGAGAACAACCTTGGGTGTCATTTCTCTGAAACTGTCCACCATTTTTTAAACTTTTTTTGAGATCGTTTCCCACTGGCCTGGAATTCACTAAGCAAACTAAGCTAACTGGCTAGTAAGCCCCAGAGACCTGCCTATCTCCTCCTCCCCGATACAAGTGAGCACCATTTCAGCTTTCCAAAATACATTGTTTTATTTTTAACATGTGTGTGTGTGGGGGGGGTGGGGTTGGGGAGGAGCTGAATGAAAATGGCCCCCCTAGGCTCATAGGGAGTGGCACTATTAGGAGGTGTGGCTTTGTTGGAAGAAGTATGTCACTGGGGCTGTGCTGTGAGGTTTTAGAAGCTCAAGTCAGGCCCAGGGGCTCACACTCCCTCTTCCTGTTGCCTGCTGATCTAGACGCATAACTCTCAGCTCTTTCTTCAGCACCATGTCTGCCTGCATGCCACCAGGCTTCCCACCATGATGACAATGGACTAAATCTCAGAACTGTAAGCCAGCTTCCACTGAATGTCTTCCTTTATAGGAGTTGCCATGGTCAGGGTGTCTCTTCACAGCAACAGGACATCGACTAGGACAGTGTGTATGTATCTGCACATGTATACTATGTGCACATGCAGGGGTCAGAGGACAGGCTGTGGCCGTTGATTGTTTCCTTTTACCATGTGGGGCCTGGGGACTGAACTCAGGTTGTCAAGCTTGGAGGCAAACAACTTTACCCACTGAACATCTCGCTGGCTAAGACTCTGTCTTAACAAGTTCCAGAACAAGCACCACCAAAACAAAAACTAAAAGAAAAAAGAGGGCAGGGACTATAGCTTAGTGGTAAAGCATTTACTTAGCATGTGTAAGATCCTGGACTCAATCCCCAATTTTTTAAAAAAAGAGGAGGGGGTAGAAAAGGAAGACTTAAAAGGGTAGTGATTGGGGGCCGGGCGGTGGTGGCACACACCTTTAATCCCAGCACTCGGGAGGCAGAGTCAGGCGGATCTATGTGAGTTTGAGACCAGCCTGGTCTACAAAGTGAGTTCCAGGACAGGCTCCAAAACAACACAGAGAAACCCTGTCTTGAAACAAACAAACAAACAAACAAACAAACAAACAAACAAACAAACAAACCCCAAAAAGGGTAGTGATCATGAATATGCTAGGGCTGGAAATTACACAATATACTTTGTTTTGTTCTTAAAAGGTGAGATTTAAAGAAAAAAAAATGGGGGTAGAGTGTGGGCAGGGAAAGGGACTCACTATATAGATTTTACTATATAGATAAGGCTTAAAGTGATCTGTCTGCCTTTGCTTCCAAAATGCTGCAATTAAAGGTGTGTGCCACCATAACCAGCCACCTCGTTCTGTGGTGTAACCCTGTACTCTGAGCTTGTTCATTCACCCAGTAGCTACTGAGTGCCTAGCGCTGGTCAACTTTGAAGATACCTTGAGGAGCTCAAATTTTTGGAAGAGTGACACTGTTCTCCTTTCTGTTTATTAAGAAAGTATCAAAAAGTTGGTCTGTGCTGGGCAGTGGTGGCGCACGCCTTTAGTCCCAGCACTCGGGAGGCAGAGCCAGGCGGATCTCTGTGAGTTCAAGGCCAGCCTGGTCTGCAGAGGAAGTTCTAGGACAGGCTCCAAAGCTACACAGAGAAATCCTATGTCCAAAAACCA